ACAAACGTCCAAAACCATCAGAACGTGCCTAGTTCCGATACCATATTGAAAAATTGGATGTGCGTGACAACATGGTTTTGATATCAATGATAATTTTTGGTTGATAAAAGTGTCAAAAAAGTCCTAAACATTTTGCTTTTGTGCCAATTCAGTCCTAAACCTTTTGCATTGGTGCCAATTTAGTCATAAACCTTTTTTTTGTGCCAATTCAATCATAAACCTTTTGTATTGGTGCCAATTCAGTTCTAAACCTTTTGCATTGGTGCTAATTCAGTCCTTCTAGCTAATAGCTATTCACTTGTCAAAGGACTGAATTGGCACCAATGCAAAAGGTTTAGGACTGAATTGGCACCAATGCAAAAAGTTTAGGACTAAATTGACACAAATGTAAAAGGTTTATGACTGAATTGGCACAAAAAAAAGGTTTAGGACTAAATTGGCATCAATGCAAAAGGTTTAAGATTTTTTTGACACTTTTCCCATTTTTGGTTTAATGTGCAAGTGTGTATGCGTGTAGGACATATTTGGTAGATGGTCGGACAAGGGACAAAATAGGATAGTTCATGGATGACAATCACTCCTATATATATAGGCCTTCCCAACCGACTTAAAATACTTTCTTAATGTTCTTTACAACAACGTGTACAATTCTCAATCGTGGGATTGACTTTACCGACCACAAATGTGACTAATTAAAACAATTCTCTTGCTTCAATCTTGCTTCCCACGCATGCCTAGACTTCTCTAGATTTGGCTAGAGAATTCTTAGAAAATGGATCACAAATTTAAAGCAACTGTGCAATAAAATCTGCCGTGATTTCTGAACGAAGCTGCCCATTTCCTGCATATTATCGTCTCTGCTCTCCCTGCTTTCTCTGTGCTAGGGGTGAGCGCGGTTCCAGGGTAGAACCGAGAATCGGAGAACCGGACCCAGTGGGTCCGGTTCGGTTCCAGGTTCCATGGACAGAGGGTCCGGTTCTCGGTTCCCCATTTTTAGGAACCGGTTGTTCCGATTCCGGTTCCCGATTCCTATAGGAACCGTATCCGGACCGGAACCGGAACCGGGAACTGGAACCGGAACCAAGAACCGGGACCAGGAACCGGATCCCTAAAAATTAAAACATAAACTACACATTTGGTATTTAGAAACCCTAATTCACCTTGTCCCTCCATCTTGTCCCTCCTGCTTCCACTTCCGCCTCGCTCCCGCTTTCGCTTCTGCCTTGCTCCTCGGCGTCCTCGCTCGGTCGCTCTTGCTTCCACTTCCGCCTGTCGAAGTGATTCCGGCGGTGAGTTCCGTCGTCACCAAGCGCTACTGCCGCAGGATCCTCGGGAGTACTTCATCGATCTGTATCCGTCGACAGAGGCTTCTAGATCTTCACGCCGCCGGTAAAAACACATGCTCCGTTTCCTGTTGTTATTCGTTAAAAAGAAAAAAAAAAGAAGAAAAAAAAGAGAAAAGGCTGAGAACTATAGCCACTGCTGGGGTATAAAATCATCTGTGATCGAAGCTGTGTTAATTGTTTGAATCTGCTACGATGCTTTGTGATGATCTGGTGATGAGTTTCTGAGCTATACATTTGCATTTGGCCTTCATTACTGAAACGTCTAGCATTTGTTCGTTGATATGCCTATGCCTTACTTGTATTTATATGTATATTCGAGGAGTGTTTCTGCATTTTGACATCTGGTGGTTTGATGCGTGCTTGAGCTGAGCTGTTCTTCAATATATTTGTCTGACTTACCTTTGTCAATTTGTTTGGCACCTGTTTGGCTGTAATTCTGCACATAGCGTGCTGATCAATGCTTTATAGAAATTTTGTTTGGGTTTGCAGGAATCGACTCATATTCGTTTGGTAATGTTCGGCTTATGGATCTGTGTTTGTTGAATTGGCATCTGACTAGTTATTTTTACTGGATTGAGATTTATGTTTGCTGATGGTGCATTCCCTTACACAGCTAATTGGTGTTGTGGTTTCAATTTGGCTTTGCTTTGATGATGCTTGATAATTTCGCTTGATAATGCCGGAGTGGATACCGAAGAAGCTTTTGGTCTTCTGCTTTTGTGCTTTTGCAGCATGTATGGGGAGAGAGGTGATATGTATTGAGAAAAATGTGGCATCTTACCTTGGAATTTAAAGTCATATGTATTGCATCCCAACAATTACTATTTATCGTGCTATCCCCTTTCTTTTAAGAAAAAATGTGACTTTTCTATAATTTGTCTTTTGTATTCTTTTTGATGAATGTTCATTTTCGTTTTGATTAACTAAAAAAAAAAAAGAACCTGTTGGAACCTAGAACCGACCCTGGAACCTGTGACAGGGTAGGTTCCAGGTTCCACGTTTCGACAGTAGGTTTTCGGGTTCCTCATTTTGAGGAACTTGAGCGTACTAGAGGCAGTATGTTCCAGGGTTCCTGGTGCAACCCACCCTAACCCAGGAACCGCTCACCCCTACTTTGTGCGCCCACCTTTTCTTTCCTTATTATCTAGTTATTTACATTAAAGCAAAACGAATTATAGATATTTACCTGAATCTTACTATTTTGGGTTGAGGTTCTATAGACAATTTGTATTTCTATTTGACAAATTTGATGGCCATATGCTTTCAAGATTTCTCAATCCCCCGCCGACAATCGGTGAAGCTAAGCATTCCATATCTCTCCTAGCAAAGTCACAACATTAGATTTTTCCGTGCCTTAAAAAGACAGATTTTTAATCGGTGTCCGTAAATTTTTTACTAGCGTTGGTAAATGTCGAAAATACCGTCGGAAAAAATGACTTATGATTTTTTTTCATATCATTTATTGGTAACTTGCCAACACTTTTAAGAAATTACAAACTTATTTTATAGTTTGCAAATTATCAATTTTTGTACCAACTTACCAACTTTTATTCACATAACTTACCAATGCTTCGAATTTACCAAGCTAAATTAGAATGATTTGCCAACTTTTATTAGATCAAATTACCAACTAATTTTGGTTACCAGCTATCATCTAAGTTACCTACTTGCAACTTTCAAATTTTTTTTAATTTACCAACTTTTCGATTGAGTTGCCAATTTGTATTTATTGGTTAGCCGCCCTTAAATTCATTAACTCTTTTTATAGGTTACAAACCTAAATTGGCATGGCTTGCCAACTTTTCTCTCATTATTAGATTACCACCTAGTAATCCCAACTCTCATTTGGGTTACTTATTAATATTAATATAATTTTTCTTATTTGCCAACTATTTTTGTCGTTTACAAATTTTAATTTACATTTCTTAGTAGCACCTGGAATTTACAAACCTTTTTAGAGACTACTAACCCTAATAAGAGTGACTCACTCATTTTCTCTAATTAAGTTACCAACTGGTTTTTGGTTATCAACTCTTATCTGAGTTACTACCAACTCTACTTTTCTTTTAATTAGCAAATTTCTTATCTATTATCAATTTTTATTTACCTTTCCTAGATATACATTAAATTTGCCAACTCTTATATAAAATTGCTGGCTTTAACTTAATTGATTTAACAATTTTTTTTATTAAGTTATCAACTAGTTTTATGTTGCCAATTCTTATTTGATTTAGCTATTAATGTCTATTTGGTACGTAAGCAGGGCAAATCAAAGTTGGTAACTCAATAGAAAAATTCATAATAAAAAAAAAATAAACGTTGATAAGCAATTCAAATGAGACTTGATAAATCAAAATTGGTTGGTAATAGATAGGAGAAATATCGGTAAGTCATGGAAATAAAGGTCAGTAAATCATACAAGAGTTGATATAATGAAGGCATTTGTAAGAGAGACAAAAAGAAGTTGGTAATTGATAATTAAAAAAAGCAAACATTGGTAAGTAACTCAAACGTAAGTTGGTAACCAATACTAGTTAGAATTTTTATAAAATAAAATTTGATGAAATCATTCAAATAAAGCTTGGTAATTCTTATAAGAGATGGTAAATTCAAGCCATTGGTAAAAATAGCAAAAGATAAGAAAAAGTTGATCTCGTAAACTGTCAAAAAGAGTAAGTGATTTCATAAAAGTCTCAGTAGGATTTCAACCTGTTACCGGGAAATCGTGTGATCGGTAACTTTCTTACCAACCGTTATGTTTCAGAAATCTATTAGCACTAAGAAAAACTCGTTATTTTGGGAACGGGACAATAGAATGGTCAAAGAATAAATAAACGGTAAGTTATTCAAATGAGAGTTGGTAACTAAAAGTGGTTAGAATTTAAATTTTTTTTGGTGAGTCACTTAAATAAAGATTAGTAAATTCTCATAAGAGTTGGTAAATTTAAGATGTTGTAAGAAAAACAAATAAAGTTAGTAAAAGATAACGAAAAAATTGATTACTTGTAAACTGTCAAAGAAGGTAATACTTTGATAAAAGTCTCGGCAACTTTCCCAAAGTTTACTTGGAAATCGGGTGTCCGGTAACTTTTTTACCAACCCTGTTTTTTTTTTACACTTACCTACTATTTTAGAAATCTACCGACACGGAAAATGACCCGATACTTTAGAAACGGAATTGACCAGCAAAGCATACTTGCTGCTAGAAAGAAAGAAGGGATCTGCCATCATCACATAATCAAGTGCATTGATGAACTCTCGAAAGCTCTACTTTGGGAAGATCATATGATAATTTTGTCATTGAAGATTTCGATTAGTGGCACATCCTTTTTATCTTGCTAGCCTCGTGTGAATACACAGCTTGTGTGTGTGTGTTGTGTGTTGTGTCTTCCGTTTCCTATTGGTTAACACGTTTGACTTTTCTCAATGATTACATCGATCGGACTGGCTTGATTGCTCAGTCTATGTTTAGGCAGTGCGAGGTAGGTTGGAATCACCTCTGTGCTCCCATGCATAACTTAATACGAAGGCACGTGAGGGAGGAGAAGGGCAGATAGCAAAGAAGGGTCGCTGTGATTACGGCTATTACGTGCAGACTGCCCACTCTTAGACGCAGTTTGGCCAACATATTTAACCATCTCTCTGGTGTGACTATAAATCGCCTCACTTCTAGTTAGACCCTTCATCGCTACTCAATGCACCTCCCTGAGTCTCTTCCCTATTGGCAATTCGTAAACTGTCTTCCGTCTTCCTGCTGTTTATAGGAATCAAACGTACCATCCAATCTTTTTGCCAGGTGGTCCATAAACTAGAAAAGCCGGCAGCTCTCCATTCGTTCGTGCTCGAAAAGAGCGCCGATCATGTCCCTCGTTACGAATGGATGTACCGTGCTGGCCTCTCGTCGCGGTTGACCCGTTGTCAAGAGAGAGAGAGAGAGCCGGGGATGGGGAGGGCTCCTTGTTGTGCGAAGGTCGGATTGCACCGGGGTCCTTGGACTCCTAGAGAAGACTCATTGCTTGTTGACTATATTCAAGCACATGGTGAAGGCCATTGGAGATCCCTCCCCAAAAAAGCTGGTAATTCCTTATTACTCAGCTTTGGCTACTTCAGTGCCCTTCGTTCCACGTAATTTGGAGTCCTAAATAATTTGTATTGCCTTTGTTAATTTCTTGTTCTATATTCAAACAATGAAATGGAATTTCTCTATATGTGAGTGGGTAAAATGAACTTTGATTCAAAAGCCAAAAAACTGGTAATTCTAAATAAAGGCATCCTAGTAAATAAAACAAACGCCCTTTTAGCGATTTATTTATTACTCAGAGCGTGCACGACAGTTCTTTTCAACTTATTCATTTCATAAGGCTGTATTCATGCTAACTGAAAATCATGTGCATTACAAAATGCATGAAGGGCTCCTAAGGTGCGGAAAGAGCTGCCGACTAAGATGGATGAATTACCTGAGACCCGACATCAAGAGGGGCAACATAACTCCGGACGAGGACGATCTGATCGTCAGATTGCATTCCCTTCTCGGCAACCGCTGGTCTCTCATTGCCGGTAGGCTCCCCGGTCGAACCGATAACGAGATCAAGAATTACTGGAACACCCACCTCAGCAAAAAGCTCCTGACAAGCCAAGACACCCACCCGACGCATCGTTCACCCGCCAATAAGAAGAGAAAGACGACTACCAAATCCACTAAAGAGAGCACCAAGAAATCAAAGCACAACAATAAGAAGAGCCCTAATAAAGCATCTGTGGAGGCCACAGAGAGGCCCAAAGTTCATCTTCCCAAGGCCATTAGGGTTACCGCGTCCTTCTCGTTACCTAGAAACGACAGCTTCGATTGCAACACTGCGATTAGCTGGTCCTCCAGTCAAGGAGGGTTACTTGACAGAGAAGTAGCCCATGTTCCTTGGTCAGGTGAAACTGGTGGGGTATTTGGCTTCTTCATCGGTGATCCGCAAGATCGTGGTCGACATGAATTCTCTAACGGTCAAAATGACGACAACACTACCAGCGCTCATCATCTTGAGCGCCCATCCGAAGATGAACCAGCAAAAGATCAAAATGGGACGCTCGACAAGCTCTACGAGGAATATCTGCAGCTGCTAAGGACAGAAGACGATCTCGTTCAGCTGGACACTTTTGCTGAGTCGTTGTTGATGTGAGAGAGAGAGAGAGAGAGAGAGAGAGAGAGAGAGAGAGAGAGAGAGAGAGAGAGAGAGATGTTTCGAGCCATGCAGGCCGCGCACGTCAAGATCAAGTGGGTGTTAAGGTTTCCGAAGTGATTGTGGTTTTGAATCGTAGATTCCACAAAACACGTGCTTACCCTCTAGCCAAACTTGGGGACTTCGGATGCCTTTATGAGTTCTCAAATTATGAGACCCGGTGCCTCTTGTAGATTTTCCATCCCCCCCCTGTACTTTCTAGGGTTTGTTAAATGTATAAGATGATTGTCCTCGAAGGCTTTTACACTTTTCTCCAAACCCTATGATGAACTCTCTCAAGGCCACGTGTTATACGCATGGACTAAGGAGGAGTTATTGAAAAAGTCGTAAACCTACTGTATCAATTCAGTCTTAAACCTTTTTTTTTATGCCAATTAAGTCATAAATCTTTTGCATTTGTATCAATTTAGTCCATTTGGCTAATTTTGGCAGAAAATCATTGACATAGACACCAGCCGTCCTACGTGGCGCGGCCGATGCTGTCGTTGACAATATTTAATAATATTTTAATATTTTTTTTCGAATTATTTTATTTTATTTTATTTTTCCTTTTTTGCCTTTTCTTTCTCTTTTTTTTTTTTTTGTCTTCTATTCTTTTTCTAGCTGGTCGTCGAATCTCGGCGACTAGCCAGAGGTGAGGCCCAGCGAGGTCGACGGCCCTCACCTCTAGTCGGTCATCAAGTTTATGTCAGCAATTTTCGACCAAAATTGGCTAAGTGGACTGAATTGGCACAAATGCAAAAGGTTTAAGACTCAATTGACAAAAAAATAGGTTTAGCACTGAATTGGCACAATTGTAATAGGTTTAGAACTTTTTTAGTAATTTTCCCCATGGACTAATGTATAGCAAAACACCCTCAGTATGAAGTTTAAACATCCTTTTACACGAGCAGTCTGTTTCTTCTTTTTCTTTTCTCTTCTCGAGTTATCCAAGTAGTCATGAGTAGTTGTGATCCACTAAAACAAAATGAACCGGCGCATTTCAATTTTATTCGATCTCATTTTATATAATGTTCACTTCTGCTCTTGCTCGCCTCGACGGATATAACCAATTAGGAGATCCTAATTTTTTTTTGCTTGATTAGGTTAGTTCTGTTTCTGATTAGGTAATCAGATGCTATTCTATGTCACCTTTTACATGCTGCAATACATTATGTGTATTGTAAGTCTAGTTATCTAAGCGGGCGTGGATAGAAGCTTTCGTGCCTAGAAATCGTTTCCTCGTATCCTAGCCGAAAGCAATGAATAGAGAGAAGACCGAACCAAAGTCCTCGCGCTCATGCAAAGTCTCTATTGTCTACTCTCATCAATTACGCCGATTGACTTCGTTGATGATCATGCTCACGTGCCATGTCCATTTTCTTAACTAAATAACGAATAGAAAACCTAATTGCTAGCATGTCGGTGGGGATGCAGTGATGGTCTTGCTAACCCTGGACCTTTGGATCGTAGGTGGTATCGAGTAACAATGCCTCAACCCAAAGTAATTATGAACCTAAGTCCTCGCGCTCATGCAAACCCTATATCGTGTACTCTCGTCAATTACGCCAATTGACTTCGTTGATGATCATGCTCACGTGCCACATCCACTTTGTCAACTAAAGAACAAATAGAAAATTGCTAGCGTCTTGGTGGGGATGCAGTGATGGTCTTTCTAACCCTGGAACTTTGGATCGTGGGTGGTATTGAGCAACAATGCCTCAACCCGAAGTAATCACGACTAGATCCAAAGCAGCCAATGGCTCGACATGAACATTTCGCAGCAGGCTTGTGATTTTTATGGTAGATCGCTAATGTCAGTCGCTCATCCTTGCCCTTTTACATATAAAAGAAAAGAACATCTAGAAGATCGAGATTTTCAAGATAGTTAGTCAAGTCGGTGTGAGAAGTCGTCTCTTTATTCGGACCGTATTTAGCATTTGTACGCAAGTGTTTTTTTCTCGGATGAATCAAACGACATCATCTACTATATACGTCTTGGAGATAGAGCTCCAATAGTCTAAACAACTGGTCAAACCCCCAATGCGTGCAGGCGCACCTCATCAAATCAATGAGCATTTCGCACCCTAATCAACTGATTAGCGTTCTGTCAAAGATTCGGATCGTCAATGCTGCTCATTAAGAAAGGGGATCAGCTAATTATTTATGTTCGAGCAAAAGGGTCCAATCATCGACAATGATCACGATCAGGGTGGTCACATCATTTTCCTTTCTTCCTTGGGCGCGGTTAGATGAGCTCGTGATCAACTTCTGGTCATCATTCCCTGGTAGATGAAGGAATCAGGCCAGGACAAAAAAAAAAACCTAAGCAGGTAAGTAAAAAAAGGGACGAACAAGATACCGAAAGACGATGTCGGAGCGAGAGAATGACGCAAATATCACATAGACCAACCACTCTTGACTTAGTCAATTGATCTTAATCACTAATCAGGCAGGCATAGAAATAATCCACGTCACGCTAAATTGCAGAAGCTCCATGGCCCGTGAGAAAGGAAGAAAGAGGCTTTCCCAGAAGCTCTCTTCACCTCCGGTTAAGCGCGTACTTGTACAACACTTTGCATTAGTATATTTGGTAAGAGTTAATACCATGAGAAATCCTAAACCGGTTTGTTTGTGCTGTGTTTATCTCGAATTAATTTCCGTATCACAAAAAAATCTTAAGTCGGTGCTACCGTGCCACGCTTTCTTCTGAACTGACTTTTGTGTCGCGAAAAACCTCAAACCGGTTCGCACCCTTAATCAATTTATCCTTCGTTAGCTTCTGTCCAATATCCTCGTTAAATTAGTAGCATGGAAACCCACGTAGCAAACAATTCGAGTGATTTACATGGGACGTGGATCTTACGTAGAAATTCAATATAATAGTGTCTCTTAAGCGACTTCGGTTTGGGGAAGCTAAGAAATTAAAATATGCTAATTTTACCCTAAGAGCTCCCTCACGTTTCAAAAAATTTGCTAAAATCCCTAATTTTAACGCAACTTTGTCCTAAGATTTGAGTAGATTTATCAAAGTATGTACCAGTTTGAAATTTTTTATGATAAGAAAATTAATTCGAGGTGGTATGAGTATATCAATTTGATTTTTTTTTTGTGATATTAACTCCTTCAATAGTTGGTCTGCATCATATTAACTAATATATTTAGTTTTTAATTTCTGGTCTACAAAGTCCAGATATTTTCTCATTTAGTTAGATTGTCGAACGTGACTTTTACATGTCATAAAAGTGAAGTATATGTCATAATGAATGGAGGAATCAATTCGTAGCTTTAAAAAATATCTCTATTTTTATTGATGACATATATATATATATATATATATATATATATATATACATAATATGTATATATTTGGATGCGATGATGGGACATGATGACAACATTTTGTCTACTTCCTAATGTCTTGTGCTGAATAAGCGCACGTGATCTTGAAAAAAGTTTATAGCAGTGGAGGGATTAAGAGACAATGATTTTGTGCTTAACTAATTAGTTGATTAATCAGGCCAATGGAAGATGATTAGTAGCCACACTAACTTACAGGTTTATGGAAAAAGGAGACATGTTGACATGTTTTGTCGTACATTATTGACCTTTTAGGATTTCTAGATTGACTGTTTTTTTGTCTATGATAGATTGCTCTAGTAATTTCTGGAGAGATCGTGGAAAGGAGAGATTGACTGGATTGATTGTAGCCTTGCAGGAATTCATAATGGCGAAGCATTTTCTATTTTAGAAAAAAGAAAAAGATTTGTCTGCTACTCTATATTTGTAACTCATAATTTTTTTTTTATCTAAACTGGTGTTCGTTTTAGTGCTTCGCGCTGGTCTAAATCATGTGTATTTGAATAGGGTGTTTCCATTTAATGAATTAATTAAAATTAATCGTTGGAGAAATGGGAATAGTGAATAAGGTAGAAATTTTTTTTTTTTGGTCAGATGGTAGAAAACTATTTCAAAAGTCATAATTTATGCTTACATTTACTACATAAGCTAAAGTAATATGTCTGTTGTAGTCCGAAATAATTTGAATCAAGTAAATTACTTCATTCAAAATGAAGTAGTTCTTAACTTTAAGATAAATTTACCAACCTTTGTTAAATTTAGTATAAATTGGGACGATTCAAAGTATAATTTTCCGGTGAGATAATGTTAGTGTATATTGAATATGTTGTATATCAGTTCCTAATATTCTGATGAGTCCATAGATTATATTTTATTGAATATTTGAAAGATTCTTCAATAGAGTTTTTTGGTTGCATCACTCCTTTTCTTGGTGGGGGAATAAAGTTGGAAATTTAAAGACCCTCCTTAAATTTATGGGTTGTCGGCCAGTGAGACGTTAACTTTCAACCTTTTCAACATCTAATGGGAAAAAGGTACTGATAATATCATAATTTTCGTAGGCCCGTTCATTGCAATGTCACAACTTTTCAATCAAGGAAAGATTACCAAAAAAATTCCTAGACTTATTGCATTTTTGCTAATTCAGTCCTAAACTTTTTAATTATTTAGGACTGAATCGGTACAATTAAAATGTTTAGGATTGACCTGACAAAAATGCAATAGATATATTAATTTTTGGTAATTTTCTCTTTTAATCAATCACATGTCACGACTTTTAAAAAACATTCACTCAAGTTACTTTAGTAATATATTTCCGACAAAAATCCCTAAGTTTAAGTTGTTGGATGAAAGCGTGGTTTAATATTTAATTACTCTAACAATGACTTTCTTAGGAGAGATTTTTTTTTTGTCTAAGACTCTTTTTAGGAGAATTAAAACATGGAAAAACGATCAAATGGTGTGTGGAAGAACAGCCTCTAGGACGAGAGAAAGGCCACAGCTTGTGAAGTACCCTGATTTGAGGATACTTCATAAATCGAGAAGGGGTTTTGAATTTCATTTTCATTTTCATTATCATAACTCAAACCTGATTTGTTAAAATCATAATCTTGAATTGACAAGATTCTCTCAAGAGTTCCTTTTCCCAAAGAAAATTCGTTGCACATTTCACAAGATCCAGCCTTGACAGAAGAAGCACTTGCTTCCTTTGCGCTTCTTTGCTCTGTCTCTTGTAGTCGGCTAAGTTCGTATATCAGAAATTAAAATCAAACGTTAGGAAAAAACTAACCTGAAAGCAGTACAACCAAATAAGCAGAATGTTGATCCGAGCCCAACGAATTAACGTCGTGTCCTTAAGACGAATTTGGCCCCTCAATCAGTACCGAGGATATTGGACAATCGTCTCCCAGGATAGAACG